ATAGGTATGCGGCTTAGATTTATTATACTCGTAGAATAAGTATTTGTATGATATGCGTTATATATTATAAAAGCGTATAAGACTAGAATAATGATTTCAGATTTGTAAGACATGCGGTTTAAGTTAAAATTAAAAGTAGATTTAAAATTAATTATAATCTTAATTGTAATTGTGATTGTAATTTTAATGTTAGTTAATGTTAATTAAACAGTAAACATTGTTTATTTCTTTTACAGTAACATTTACTGTAAAATTTACAGTAAACATTTTCTGTAACATTTATTTATTATATTTTGAGGTCTAGCAGCGCGCCAAGTTTTTTTACATAAAAAATTTTATTTTCATAAAATTTTCTCATTTTGTGATGCTTCGTCTTTAATTTTTTGAGATTAAATGTTGTATTCCATTGCAAATATATAAAAGACTCTTGAATATGAATAGAAAGATAAAGCTACGTATCATTTTGTCTCGTTAATTAAATGTTATATGTTGCAATAAAATATATGTTCTTTTCGCAATTTACAAAATACAATAGTATGTGTTATATGTTGCAAGAAATTATATATTCTTTTTCCATTTGGCATAATTTAAAGATTCGATTTTATTTTTTTTTTTATACATGCATACGTACTACTGAGGGGTAATTTATAATAAAAAGTTAACAAAATATTACCACTTGAATTATATTATTTATGTAACGGTTTTTTTTAGTTTATGTAAAGTACAGTTTTTTATGGAAGGTACATGAACACTTGGAGCCTTTTTTTACCTTTTTTTTAAAAAGGTACACACTTACGTTATTTTGTGTACGTCAGCTAGTGTGCGCACTGAGTGCGTCCAATCGAATTTGCTATTAGTATCACCTTCACTGCATTCATTAGGTCTGTTAACGTTGCTTAATATTTCCAAAAATTGTTGAAAGTGAGATGGATATATATTTAGACATTTCCAAAAATTGTTTAAAGTGAGATGGATATATAATATATTTAGACATTAAAAAGGGAAAAAACGAAGATGCAGAATATACACAACGCGAACAGATCTATTGTTAGATGAGGATCATAGAGCCGTCAATACAAGGCACCAATACACGACTACAAATTACGTTTGGTAATTCGGTCCTTAATCGCAAAGAAAAAACAAAAATGCAATAAATATTCATCGTCAAATAATTCTTATGAGGAAAATGTAAAGTGCTTATTAATAATGACACAGTGTGATGCTAGTTAATATCTTATTATTCATTGTTGTACACCAGCTTCCCCTTTTTGTGTGTCTCTCTCGTTGTCGTCTCGTCTCTTGGCGCCGCCGCACCCCCTGCCCCCTCTCTTATATGATCAACTATTACATCTTCGTCTTTCATAAAAAAAAAACAAAAAATAAATAAATAAAATTGTAGAATCTACTTAATCTAAATGTCTGACTGGTCGTTTAATATTTCTGCCACTGCGCGTTTTCTTAATCAGATCATTAGAATTATGCATTTCTTGATTACTCCGCTGTTAAAGATCCACTATAGGCTGTCTTTCAGCAGAACTATCAAGTTGAGGATCAATAGTGCTTTTGTCAGCTGAGTCTGCATCCAAGTCCGTTTCTGAGCAATGAGTTCATTTAAACTCATTTGGCGAATTTTTTAGATGGAAATTATTTCGCCTGAGCATTGACCCGTTTTGATCTTGTAGAATGTATGAACGTGGGCTTGGATGGTGACTGATAATTTTAACAGGTTCCCAGAGACACCCGTGTGAAGTTGGTCCCCCAACTTTTGAGAAAATTAATTTTCTATAGTTCATTTGATTGCTCATCGTTTATACATTTATGCACACTTTAAATTTTCGTTTGCACACTTCTAGTAAGAAAATTATTAAAAAAACAATTTTGGGGGAGCTAATTTCACGCTAGCCCCCCTACATTGAACAAATTGATTCGAAAAGGTCTTAATCGATAGATTTTCGTTTGCACATTCCGAAATAAGTCAATTTTTCGTTTGCATACCTTTAATTAAAAAGTTATTAACAATTAAAGTTAAGAGAAAGGTCGAAAGCGGCAAATAGGTTTAAATCGCACTTACTATGCTCAAAATGGCATGAATCGACAGATTTTCGTTTGCATATTCCAAAACAGGTCGATTTTTTGTTTGCACATCTTTGGATAAATAGTTATTAACAAATGAATGTTGGGGGGCAAACTTCACACCATCAAAATTACATTTTCGGCTCGAATTTAACAGAAACGGATTTGAAATAGTACTAATCGATAGATTTTCGTTTGCACATTGCGAAACAAGTCGAATTTTCGTTTGAACACCTTTAGTTAAAAAGTTATTAACAATTAAAGTTTCGAAAAGGCTCGACAGCGATAGATACGTTCAAATCGCACTTACTGTGCTCAAAATGGCATGATTCGATAGATTTTCGTTTGTACATTCCGAAACAGGTCGATTTTTCGTTTGCACACCTTTAGTTAGAACGTTAACAGATATCAACAAATAATTGTCAAGTACTGCATTGAAAATTCACGCGACAAAAATTATGTTTTCGGCTAAATGTTATTGACAATTATACTTTCGGCTTTTTGCTAGATAAGTTCGAAAGAGGAATATTATGTTTAAGTTGACAATAATCGAGAAATTTGTGTTTGCAGATGTCGAGATAGAAATGAACGACGTGAAATACACTTTGATAAATTTGAATATAGATTCAACTTGCTTTTTAAGAAATGTAAGCTTATAATTTTATTTAGAATGTTACATTCCGCCGGCATTAGCATTACCCAAAGAGTACCGCATGGAGGTTGCACGGTCCGTTTTACGCTTCTTTTTGTGCGTGGGTGTGTATGCGTGGGTGTATTTGCATGCGTGGGCGTGTGCGAGTCAATGTTTAAGCGGTGCAAGTATATATGTGTATAAGGAGAGGTACTCCTTCAAGTGCCATACGCTGTCTCCAGCGCGTAGGCACCTCCCTCTCATATACCCGTGCGCGCAATCTGATCGTCTATTGGGACCTACAGTTTAAACGCCGGTTCCGAACGGCAATTTTTGATAGAGAGGTTTCTTGGACAAGTATTCTACTACTCGGTGGTTTGCCATTGCCTTCCGAGAGGAGCTACGAGCGTACGAAAATTTTCGATTCTGCCGGGGATCGAACCCAAAATCTTTAGTATAACAGACCAGTACGCTGTCTGCTACACCACGCTCGCGCTCATAAGGAGAGGAACTAAGTAGTAGAAATTTTATACGTAGATATAATCGAGTAACTTTAGCTCAAATGTTGAGCTAAAGTAAATATTTCCCAGACAGCATGTATGTCAAAATTGAGATATACGACGTCTTTTAAACGCCTTGAATACATTTTAAGGAGTTTTATGTTTTGATTTTGGATATGCTTTCTATCTTGGCATTTATTAAAATTTGATTCAAAGTTATTCTGAAAAGAAATAGAAGAGATAATACAAATCCACTATCGTAAAATGACTTGTTAAAATTTCCACTACATAGTACCTCTCCTTATGAGACCTACGAGGGTCGTCTGAAAAGTTTTGAGCCTCATCATGAAGATGGTGTTACTCGTCAAAGCCATTCTGGTATCATAATCGTGATATTTACGAAAGATATCTGTGCCAATTGTGGCCACTTTGGACTTCAGTTCTTGTTTGACAATCATGTGTGTCGTGATTTTGTAAAAATGGAAAAAATTGAATATCGTGCTATAATTAAATTCTTGCATTTGAAAGGCAATACATCTACGCAAATTAAAGCCGAGTTGGACGCTGTTTACAGGGACTCTGCCCCATCATTTGCCACCGTGAAAAGATGGATAGCTGAATTTAAACGTGGTCGTACCAGCTTAGCTGATGATGAGCGTTCGGGACGGCCAACAACTGCGACCACCACCAGTAACATCGAAGAAATTCATCAAATGATAATGGACAACCCTCGAATTAAGATTAGGGAGATAGCAGAGACTGTTGGCATATCAAAAGAATGTGTTTGTCATATATTGCCTGAAGAATTAGGCATGCGTAAGTTAACCGCGCGTTGGGTGCCGCGCTTGCTCACTCTGGATCAAAAACGCATTCGAATGAACATTTCTAAGGCCCTGTTGGAGCGGTTTAAGCGAAACGAGTCGGATTTTTTGCGTCGATTAATAACGGTTGATGAAAATTGGGCCCACCACTTCACTCTTGAAACGAAAGAACAATCAAAACAGTAGACTGAAGGGTGAATCTGCTCCGAAGAAAGCGAAGACGGTTTTATCGGCGGGAAAGGTGATGGCGACTGCTTTTTGGGACAGCCATGGAATTGTGTTTATCGACTATCTTGAAAAAGGTAAAATAATAACAGGGACGTACTACGCATCATTACTTGACAAGCTGAAGACAGAAATTGAGAAAAAACGACCGCATTTGAAAAAGAAGAAAGTGCTGTTCCATCAAGATAACGCACCGTCTCACACTTCAGCGGTCGCTATGGCAAAAATTCACGAATTGCGGTTCGAATTAATTGACCATCCACCGTATTCACCAGATCTAGCCCCCAGTGACTTTTTTCTGTTTCCTAGGCTCAAAGTTTGGCTCGGAGGACAGAAATTTTCATCGAACGAGGAGGTCATCGCATCCGTAGATGCCTCTTTTGCAAAGTAAGATGCTCAGTATTATTTGAATGGATTAAAGGGGTGGGAGCATCGCTGGAAAAAATGTATTGACTTAAAAGGAGACTATGTGGAAAAATAAAATTGAATTTGACCGAAAATTTACTTGTTTCAATGTTAGGCTCAAAATTTTTCAGACGACCCTCGTATGAATGTCATGTATACGTTACTTTCTTTTATCGACTTTGTTACGCGAAATATAATTAAAATATGCTGACACGTTTTGATCTAAAAATGACGTAACTCTTACAGAATAGTGGAACATCGTTCCGTAATGATTACGTAAATGTTACGGAACGATGTTTATTGGGTATTGTAAAACTTTTTTTTAATGTAAAAGAACTATTTTAAAACGTTTACCTACAAGTTTAACTAACGTTTTTACAACATCTATATAACCCATTCTTAAAATAACTCCCGGACATTCGTTCACTGAAAAAAGTGTATGTAATTTTGTATGAAAGTTACATATACAGGGTGACCCATTTTAACTTAGACAGCCAAATAACTCGAAACATCGCGAATAAATAAAAAAATGTTTGAAACAAAAATTGTTGGACATGGAGGGGCTGATTGAACTATGACCTTGACAATGACCTTGACCTTCATTTTCAAGGTTATTTGAAGGTCTACTTTCAATTTTCAAATAGAAACTCATATTTTTGATCCCGGATTTTGAAAGAGCGCAAAATTTTACGTCCAGATGAACTTTCATGTTATGGGTGCGAAAACCTTGGAAATATTGTGAAACTGTTTCGGCAGTGATGCTCTAAAGAAAATAAACCGTTTACGAGTGGCATGAACGCTTCAGAAGTGGTCGTGAATCGGTCGAGGATGACGAACGCAGTGGCAGGCCGTCGACATCGAAAACCGACGAAATCATCAATAAAGTGAGAGAAATGTTTATCAATAATCGAAAATTAACTATTAGAGAGTTGGCAGAGGACTTAAACATTGCTTATGGATCCGTTGAGGACATTGTAGTTAATGATTTGGGTTTGCGCCGTGTTGCTGCAAAGTTGGTCCCGAAGGAACTGAATTTCATGCAAAAAAGGGACCCCGTTGACATCGCCAAAGACATGGTTTCCAAGGCTGAATCCGACCCAACATTCATCAAACACATCATTACTGGAGACGAGACGTGGGTTTATGAGTACGATACGCAATCCAGACATCAAGCGAGTGAATGGAGCCAAGACCAAAAAAACCACGTCGTTTTCAGTCGAAAAAGAAAGCGATGCTCACGGTTTTCATGGATTACAACGGTATTGTACATCACGAATTTTTGCCAGAAAGTCAGACAGTTAATAAGGAGTATTACTTGGGCGTTATGAAACGTTTGCGTGAAGCAATTAGCCAAAAAAGAAAGGATTTGTGGGCAAACAACTCATGGATTTTGCACCATTATAACGCACCGTCGCACAGTGCCATCATTATCCGTCATTATCATTGCGTTTCGCCAAATTCTTTATTTTTTTAAGAATTGGAAAGAGTAAGGGCACTAGGAGTCGGGCGCAGAAGACGTAGCGCAAATAATACACTTATAAAGAGTGAAACTTCTTTATTCACTGAACACGCTTACATGTTTCGACTCATTTTTGAGTCTTCCTCAGAGCAAACACACATTAACATATAAAGTAAAAATAATCCTATCATGGTGAGCTCCCCTACATCGAGAATTTAAATGCCAGAATTAAATAAAAAGAAAGAAAAGAAAATGAAGAAGAAGGAAAATATTAAAAATGTCAAATTAAAAAATATAGAAACTAATTTATCGAAAAACTAACCGAAAATAGGGACGCTCACCACAATTACAAAGTACCGTATCGCAAACAATATCATGAATAATTCGAGAACCGGTTCCTGATATGTTGACCAGAAGGTATCAGACACAGTGAGTCACTTTTTTTTAGTTATTAGCTAGTACTAATGAAAATTGTAAAATGATAAAAAAATTTCGTCCGAAGGACTTATTACTGTGTACGAGCGACACCGACTGACAAGACGTGACAACAACTTGAGCTTTTATAGTTTATCTATAATCGGGAGGTAGGCCTTCGGAAGCCCCTCCATATCCGTCTGCAGATTGAGTCCAGTCTTCTGATGAATATCATCTCCGAAATCGATCTCTTCCTGTAGTGAGGTTCCTCGTCCAATATTGCAACACTGTCCCAGTCAAAATCGTGTCCCTCTTGAAACCGATGTTCCGTTATAACACTGCGAGCAGACGTGTTCTATCGGATGTGGTTCTTATGTTCCGTGATTCTTGACTTCAGTTGTCTACACGTCTGTCCAACATAACTCATGTCGCAGCTTTTGCACGAAATCTTATAAACAACCTTCGACTTCTTATCACGCGGTAAGGGGTCCTTATGCACCCTAATAAATTCTTGCAATTTATTAACACTATAAAATGACACCCTCATATGCTCGCTATTCAATCTATTAAACTTCTCAGTTATTAACGGATTTATTATACGCAGGCTGTAAATATGCGTCTATCTCAATATTCTTCCTTTTTTCAATTTGTTTGTTCCGTTTTTGGATCAGAAACAGTTAGATTACTAAAGTCATGGATTAAATTCCGTATTTGTTTAACTAAAAGTCTTTTACACGCTAGATTCTTAAGATACTGTATCGCGAACAATATTGTCCCACCTCATTTGCATCGGCTACATAGG